TTTCATGAGGATCAGTGACACGACGACCTGGTGTTTTTCTAAACAGGCTCTTCAGCAGCCGAGATGTCTCAGTGAATCTGAAAAAAACAATGGTAAAAAACACACACCTTGCAGTTGAATTATATGATAGGTCAAAACCAACTGGAATAGGATTTCCTGATGTCAGCCGAGGGAGACCAACTACTCATTGAACAATGGATCAGTTGAGTGGCAGTTCAGCTATAAGTAGATGGTGTGATCAGTTATATGTAAACACAAATAACATAAAATTGTGATGTCTCAAGGAAAAATTTGTTTGAAGGCTAAGTTGTTTTGTTGACTAAGAAGTTGTATTATTTAGTTCCCCTAGCTATATCATAATAAACACCAACCAGTAAGACCCCATAGGATAGTGATGAGAGTACAAACTTTTTACTATTTACATTAGCTGGAAAGCTAGGTGGTCATATAAACATTTATGAAAGACTAGCCCCCTAACTCCCAATAAATAAATAAAAATGCCTTCGAACAAATTTTGACTTGCGATGATATTACCATTTTTGAAGTTATTATTTTAATTTTTTAACAAACAAGACAAAGCAATTAAATCAAGAACTGAAAACTACATTTTTGTGATATTTCTACATCAAAAATTCTCATTTGAATAAATCTTTCAAATTCCCACTCAGTTTGTGACAATAGCTAGGCAGTGTGCAATATATGCAAATAAGAAAAATGAATAGTCATGCATGCTCATTTACATATCATCATTGATGCACAGGATTGTGAAACTGCATTCAAATATGTAAATGATAAGTTTTCCTAAAGCAAGAAAAACCGACTGCAAGACCAACATATTCATAAACATTCAAATTGTATAAAAAATTGCCATGCTTATCAGAGTCGCATTCTGAAGTGGAAATAGCTTTATTCTCGGCTTCTCATTACGTTGAAGTTTAAGAGTGCATTGCATAGACGTACTAGTCAGATACATTCAAGGAAGCATCAGCCATTGCAACTTTTGATTTGCTAAACATTGTAGGTGTTTTCAATGAAACAAACAACGGTTTACGTTCAACATGCACTACTCCTTAACTCGTTTTGAATAATGAGAGCCGAATACATTCAGAAGATTTTGAACTGTAAGTAACAAGGTGTTCTGACTTATGTTGTCATTAACAATGAGACAACTTGATACTTATGGTTGGGTATTAGTAGTTGAACAAAGCAGAGACCTCGTACAATGCAATGAACATGACATGTACACAGTCACCTTTACGCTGCTCAATGCGCATAATTTTATTTTAAAAAACACATGTGTGTATGGTTAGTAAGACTAAAGCAAATGTAACCCACCACCAGTTAGCAAAACTCTACTGTGCACTGATAAGACTGGGGAAAAGAAGTTTGGCTATAAATTTAGAATATGCCAATTAGAGATCAAAGCGAAAACAGAACAGTCTTTGAAATCCAGTATTTTGTCTAGCGAATCAAGGTTTCTTGAGAAGAGATTTTTACACCCACCAAATACATGTAAGACAATATTATATTAAAACAATGAGAACAAGGCGTACACAAACACAGACAGTCACCACAACCATGGATAGTTAAAAAGAAGGCATCTAGGTAACTATATTATAACAGGAGGTTGGTAAACAATCAGCCATGCTTTGACAAAAGATGGTCTGACTTGGAGGTTGGACTATCAACTGATCTCTATCAGGGAGGAATAGACATGTTGATATTTCAGAGTTACATTACTAAGAATTATCCACTTACTTTTTCAGAGATGGTAAATGTATACCTGCAATTAAATAACCCAACAAAAATGAATCGTAAATTTGGATTGGCTTTGAAGTGAAAATGTTGTCACAGTATTGACCAAATTGTTTCAAAATGATTTCAAATTAATCCTCCACAATTTAGACTCTGTCGTGAAACAACCTTTTAAACCCTACTTAGGGTGTTTTCAAGGACATGTAGCTATTCTTTATATAAAGCTAGGGGGGGTCTTTAAGGGGTTAGGAGCAGAGATGAAAATTGAAAGGTGATACTGTGACTGCCATACACAAAAACACCAAAACAGCAACATTGCCACCTAAGTTGCTGACTGGTTTGCTATGTACGCCTGGAGATCGTTACATGATTACAACCAGTTGGGTCAAACCAACTTCAACAGGAGACATGAAACTAATAGTGGGGGAGTCGGTTATGTTGAATGTAAATACAAGATCGTGAAATGGCAAAGTTATCAAAACAAAATGTACCAGTATGTACTGACACAGTCAGGAAACTGTAACTGATGTGTTTGGTATTTGTTATAGTTCTCGTTAATGAGCACATTTAACTGAACCGGCACACCCTTGTAACTAGTTCTAATCATTTAACGATCTAAGGACGCGCAAAGCAAATAATTCAGAAACTTAGCTGGCTATGTTTCTGTTTTGGAGTTAGGAACAATATGACAGTGACAAAAATAGTTGGTTCAAAATTCCGAAAGACAACTCAGTTTTCATGTGGACAACCAGTTTCTCAGTGATTGCAAAACTTTGGCAAACTTGTTTCAATTTTATGCCAGGTAATTCTACTTTTATGATCATGAACTAAGCAAAATTTTATATAATCGATAAATGACATCAATTCTGTATCATGAATGTACAATATTTGGTTAACAGTGAGAACCAAGGGTACAAGTTTCTGAATGAAAAGTTCTGCACATGGGTTTAAACGTTTTGTTTTGAGGCGTTTGCTCGAGAAAAAGCAATTACCCATACATAATTTTGGGCCTAATGGATGGAAAATAATTAATCCAGTATCTATGACAACCACTTAATTAAACTAATCAATGTTCACTGTAACACATATATACAAGATATGTCACAAAAAACCTCCAGAAAGCCTAGATTTGAAGGTAATTTCTGTCCTGTTTTAGAGATTAATAGATTAATAGAGATTAGAAAAAACTAGATTTATGGAAATAAGCTAAGTAGTCTATGATATCACTACAAAGGCATCCCTAACCCCTTACAGATAGATTGACCAAGTTACCATGCTCCTTAGCCTGCCTTCAAACCACCACCAAAATAAAATTTACATGTATACAGAAACTCAAAAAACCTTGATTCTGCATGTCATGGATTGTGCGTTCTAAAATAATTTACTACGTGTAATGGGCATGGCACACACTTTGTCCAACATACCACTAATACGGCTGCCTTTAATCTAATAAACTCATTTTAATGCAACCGCCTCTAAAGACCATCGGGAGTCATGTACATTGCATCTCGACCAGTACTGATAATAAGCGGCGTAGTTTCGTCAGGCGACTGAATGAACTTATAGCTGGGCAAAATAAATAAAGAATTGAAAAAGAGAGTGGTGCTCCCCGTTGTGGGAAACAAGCAAACAGACCAGGCAGCAATCAGTTAAAGTTACACCATATCCCAAATTAATTACCAAATACTTGGTAAATAGGTTCACCATACCAGTCTATGGTTAATTTTATTTGCTATCTCGTCAAAAGGTTAAGAGCACGGTTACACATATACCACGAGTCTGTTGGTGAAAAAAATAACAAACAAAAACAATCTTTCATTGATTTTACTATTTGGAAACTATTATGACATTCGTAATCCAATTTGTTCTTAGAAGAAAAAAAAATTTGACTGATTGAGATGGATGGATGACTCGCATGGTGGTGGAGTTCATCATGAAAAAAAACAAAATAATTAGCAACTAATGGATTGAGGGCGCTCTACAAGCCCGTGTATAGTTGAAGGCCATGTTGTCAGCTAGTCTTTGGCGAAAAGTGTGATTGGTTTGATATACAGACCCGCCAAAAAGTATTTACGCACCTGTCATTTGATCGTTTTCGTAACTAAAATAACAATTCCGGGTAACATGATGTGTTGACTTTAAAATATACTAAATTTAAGAAGAACTAGTGCATTTTAGTCAAAATATAATGGTTGATTTGTGTTTAGTTTTTTTGTATGTAGACGTTTTTTCAGTGAGCGAAAATCCCCATGGTTAACTCTATGGGAGCGCGCTCATTTGCATATCATTAAAACTTCGCGCCATAAAACATGTGCGATAGTCGTGTCCTTTCTCATGCAAATTTGAACCAATTGGGAAGCTGAAATTATTTCAACACGCGCTTCTGGGCGGGAATACCTGTCAGTTGTAGTTCATGAATATTCCTATCGAAGTCATAGTGTCAGATTTGTAATTTTTATTTACAAACATTGAGCCATGCCGAAAGTTAGGGAATTGTCAGAATTTACTAAAGGGAACATTGAAGCACTGTATACAGAAGGAGTTTCTAATAGGGAAATAGCAAGAAGACTGGGAATTTCTGAAGGCTCCATACGTTTCAACCTGCGAAAACATTGTCTGCGAAGTAGTATGGGCAATCGTCGTCGATCAGATCGACCAAGGCGTACAACGCAACACGAAGACCGGCTACTCATCAGGTCTAGTTTAGCGAATCGGTTTCACAACGCCCATGATTTGCGTGCCAATTTTAATCAACTCACTGGGAAAAGATTGAGTTTGAGCACAATAAAATCAAGACTATACAAGGATGGTAATCTTCACGGCTGTGTTGCTAAAAAGAAACCAAAACTACAACCTCGACACATCGCAGCGGCAGATAACACATTGACTGGACTCCGGCGCAGTGGGCTCAAGTTATCTGGTCGGACGAATCAAAGTTTACGGTGTTTTGTAGCCGTGGAAGATTATTTGTATGTTGGAGACCAGGTGAAGAGTACGAGTTGAAATGCATTAAACCTACAATAAAATTTGGTGGTGGTAGCATCATGGTGTGGGGATGTTTTTCGGCTACCGGCTTAGGGTCACTAGTCCGTGTACCGACGACCATGAACCGATGGAAATATTTGGATATCCTACAAAACGAAATGATACCGTCGGCACTAAGACTCGTTGGACCCAATTTTCATTTCCAACAGGATAATGCCCCCCGTTCACACAGCATTGGCAGTGAGGGATTTTCTAAATAATCCACAAGAGTACAGATATCTTTTCGACAACTTTACCACTTTGAATTGGCCTGCATAGTCTCCAGATTTGAACCCTATTGAGAACCTTTGGGAGTTGATCGATTTAGAGGTGCATTCCCGACCAGTTGCTAACATCGAGGATTTATACGCGAATATAATGGAAGCTTGAGGACAGTTCCAGGTGAACATGTGTCGGAAACTCGTCGATACCATGCCAAAACGGCTCAGAGAAGTCTTTCAGCAAAGAGGTGGACACACGCATTATTGACAATCGCCGCGTTCTATGTCTCATGAATATTCATGAGCTTGCGTTTACACGGTATTCTCCATTGAGAATTCGAACGTTTTTTCACCGTTTCGTTCAGACTGCCGTTTTTATTCAATCTGGCATGACAATGAAAATTTTGTTGTTTTTATTGTGTGTAAAACCGCATATTTTATTAGATATATAAATATATTGAGTTTATTTTATTGAATGATATCGTAGGTAGTAACTGCGTGTAGTGTGGTGCGTAAATACTTTCTGGCGGGTCTGTATATCAGGTGATTAAGACATATTTATTAACTCAATTATTAACGTATGTCACCATGCCCCAAATAAAAAAGACACAGGGTATTCAATTCACGGATGGTGGACGTCTCATTAATTTATTTCATTAACTTAAACAATATACATGTTGTGATGAATCTTGTGACAGTAAAATATCAATTTTATGTAAGGTTTCTGGTGTGCACGTACATCAGTTAAAAATTTGTCGTTCACAAGATTTAAAAAAACAAACAAAAATATTCATCAAAATTGGAGAATTGAAAATATCATCACGAAATTAACAAATCTGAGTGAGGTACACATGTAGTACATATACATGTCATATCAAGGCAATCAGACTTGTGGTTTTTAACAAAAATTACAAAAATATTCACTAAAATTAGAGTTAAAGATATCACCATGAAATGAACAAATCTGCAAGAGGTCTACGTGTAGTACCTATATATGTAATATCAAAGCAATTGGACCAGCTGTTTTCAACAAGAAGTCGAAAATATCACTTTTTAGCAAAAATTACAAAATATCCATTAAAATTAGAGAATTGAAGATATGATGAAATGAACAAATCTAAGAGAGGCCTACACAAGGTACATATACACCAAGTATCAAAGCAATCAGGCTTGTAGTTTTCAAGAAAAAGTCGAAAAAGTAAAACATTGACACAGATGGACAATCACTCATATATAAGCTCAGCTCGACAAAGTGGACCAGAAACAGATGCGATAATCATAAAAAAATTGTAGTCATTTTGTATGCGCTGGTAACCGTGCAGGCAAACATGCGCAAAAGCAGCCTGTAAATACTTTCCAGCTGTTACTGAGGGAATGGTTAGCCCAGAAGACATGAAATGACATGAGCAAGATTTGATAATATGGAATTCATTATAAATACATCACATGACAGTGACTTTACAAACATCAAAACAAAGACGACTAGAAAGCAATAATTAATAACTTACGTTTTACGCGTGGCCTGCTCAATTACGGTAGTCGGGTCTTCATGTCGAAGCTCAGCCTCCTGTACTTTTTCAGCTAAAGATTTAAACATTGTACGTCTTATGCTGTAAACAAATCAGAATGTTATAAATTATCATTTTGGGGCGTGAATAAGGATAATGTAAATTGCTTTAATTTTGTTGGAGACAAATCTGCTCTTAGCTGTAAACAACTTCACACAGCTTTAAAGCAGATATTGGAGGGGGACAAATGTGGAAAATTCAGCAGTTCATTTCTGTATCAAACAACTAGAGGTGTATTCTCTGATGAATGAAGGACTATATTACAATATCAATATTTGATGTGAAGCAGTTTCTATTAGTTAAGTCTGACTTTTGAATTGTTTTCCACCCTATTAATGTTACAGGATGACTATTTGACCACCAAACACAATGTACATTTGTACTTTCAAGGTCTGTTTTGTTCAGAACTCATAGTAATTCAAACAGCAATGAATGCTCCGAGTTAATGTAGTGAAGACAATAAATAACTTGAATCAATAAATGGCACAATATACATGTCAGCTTTTGATCAGTATAACTTGTGAACTCTGTAACTTCAGATCTGATTATTGACCAATTTTCTTAATACTATATTAAGTACACCCAATGCACACTAATTCATTGACTCTAATTTTGTACGCTTCCAATAAACAGTATAGTGAGTGAACAGTTACATAAATTTACATGATAACAGAAGTGGTGTTATTTTTTAAATATGCCACAAGTATGTAAACTTGGCAAGTCAAGATTGCAAATGTGTTTACCAATGAGACCTCACTTGCTCATTTAAAAAAATGGAATCCAAGAAAAAATGTCTATATTAGCTCTGCTATCAAAATAATTCAAGTGTTTAATATTTGGTTGATTACAAGTACATTTGCATGTTTGTATACAATTACATACTTTCCTATGTCCAGAAAGAACACTATTCTGTTTTGAAATACTTACACCTTCCATACAATGTCTCTCATTAAGACCAAGACGGGCATCAAAATTAATAATATCCAGAAGATACCTGATGAAAACACTGCATGTGCCTGCAATCAAAGGTACTCAGTGAAAATAAACCATTAAGACAAATCAAAATATAAAATATTGCAATAGTATCAGCCTAAAAATGGTGTCAATAATCAATATTCTTCATGTTCATTTTTGTTTGACAACATTGACTAAAATACATACAATAACGCATTTCTTCTTTGAATCATTGAAGAGTTCATAAATGGCATTTACCGTATTTTTTTAATTACCCATTTTTTAAATTTATTATGTTCATTGCCCAGCAATTTGCAAGTTATTAGCCAAAAGATACATAGTATAAACTCTTTGATTGTTAAAGTCAATCAAAATGTCATTACTCATTTTATACAGGGAAGGTAATTTTGGATTAAGATTACATAAATAAATTGGCAAACATACAGCTTTAATAAATAAATATTAGTTGAAACAAGAATTACATTAAAATTTTACAATTCAAAATGGTGTCTCACATGGGGTATACAATAATTGCTTTATTTTAAGCGAGCATAGAAACCTTTTTCAACTGTAAGCTTTCATTTTGATGTAAACATATTATGCACAGTAGGGAATAAAATCTCTGTAATGTCTCCATTGAACCCTTGGGTCACAAAATAGCATACAAGGAACATGCATTCAAATCATAACAGAAATGCAATTTACCTGACCAGACATCTCCGCTGATATAGGCACCGTTGGCCACAGTGCTGAATACACACCAAAGAAGAAAATCCACAAGAGAATACTACCCCAGATAGCAAGGTGAGAACACTGGTGAAAATAATTGGAATATTAATTAACTCATTTGCATAATTAGTGATGGGAATGGGTTTCACTGATTTTAGTGAATGTATAATTAAGCAGTATTCGATCGCTAACAGTGCACACTTGTAAAAATGGCACATTAAATCAAAGTATATACCATATACAGTTACCATTGGGAGTTCTTTCTTGCTTACATATGCCATAAATGTTCTCATTACTTCACTCATGCCTTACAAAAATACTTACCCAAGTCCAGGCATCGGTTTCCAATCCAGACTTCAAACAGACCACTACCACTACATACTGTATGGGTAAGATAACATTTTAGCATAAAATGAAATTAGACAATCTACAATGATACTTGAGAGATATACATTCAGCCATGGAATGACAATTAAAAGCTTTTGTACGTGTTATTACATTTGCACACTCAACAAATAGACAATGGTATTTTTAACATGACTATCGGTATACTTTTTTTATCAGATGTCTGAAATCTAATTGGTTGAAATTAAAATTGAAATTATTTTACGTTTTATAAAGGCCAGTACTGGCTGCAGTAGATCAGAGAGAAACATGTACAAAGTATTTCCAATCTGACTTAATCTGAGGTATTTATAATAGCTTTTGAGTTTAACCAACAATCTATGCAGGTAATATTCAGTATGACTTCCTCTGACTAAATTTGTAAACCAATCAGAGTGTGCCTTACAAAAAAGTTCTCATTGGTTGCTAAGCCTGTGAGATCTGAACACGACTCGCAGTGTTTCAATACTGCTGTTACAAAATGAAAAAGAAATGAAGATGAATAATCATTGATGTGACTGGCCTTAGCACGCAAATGACCATTGATCTCTTTGAGAGTATTCAAACAAGTCGAGTTGAACATTTGTATCAAGAGATACATTGTTTATCAACAACTCCTCTCCAAACTACATTGAACTCACCGTATAAACCATGTTGCCTAGGAAATAATGGTCTCCTGTTTGCCCATTGCCCCATGCAACGTCGACCACAAGTGCTCCGAGTGGAATCCAGAATAATAACGCTGAATGATAGAAAGCATTAAGTGTCCACATCCAAAACACCTGCAACAAAATCCATTTTGATAGAAAAAGTGTTATTTCATAATTTTCAAGAGTAGTGCTTGTAGTTTTGTTGGGTATCCAATTTTATAAGCCAATTCACAAGTCACCTTGCCAACATGGTGTCCTACAACTACTTACTGTAAAGGCACCAAGACAGTTGACTATATTTGACAATGAACAGATATGTGAATTGATCAATTGACAGGCTTACCTTTGTATTGAACAACTCTGAGTTCTGAGAAGGTTTATAAAGCTGTGGAAACTGAACAAGACTATGCTCACTGCAGTTTCTATCAAATAAACCTATCACTATTGGAGGTAATGCTGTGAAAAACTGAAACACATGAAATGATTATTTTAATTATTTCATATTACCGGTAAGGTTAGATATAAAAGCTAAATTTACATAAAGAAAGACACAAGAAGAATTCTCAGTTTCTTCAATATGAACATATGCAACTTGGAACAGTCTTTATAATTTTGTGCTTTGCCTAATAGCAATAGGTCTATACAAAGACATTTGATTAACATTTTGGAAAAAAAAAACATTTAATATAACCGTTACAGTCATCAGAAGTGCTCGAAATTCATAACCAGCATTCATATGTAATGATTTGGTACGCATTATACACTATTTGACAATGATAGACATTCCTAAAATGCAGTTTTATTGATTACCTTACAACAGAACAAGATCTTTGCCAAAATGAAATACGAGATGTGTGTGTGTTGGATTGAAATCACTTTGTGCGATGATTCATCATGTATGCACAGTGAATGATATTAATACATTCTTATCATATTCTCAGCAATAAAAATGCTTATACCGGTATATAACGTTTTTTTCAATCAGGGTTCCAACAGTTGATTTTATTTCAAGCTTTCCATGGATGAAGACCAACTCAAAGAATTGTTGACACAAATATTGAGAAAAGTAAACATCATATCAACACTACACATTTAACGCACAATATTAAAAATAAATTCAACAATATGCCCTGAGGTAAAAAAATATAAACAATTGAAAAGTCATAATCTGTCAGAGTTTTCATCAACAAATTCTTTCTATCGTTAACAATTTTAATTTAGCATTTCATCGTAGCAGTGAATGTTTAACTGGATCTTCAGAGTGACAACGTCATCAAAACTGCATATAATGAGGGGCTCACACATCAGTCAATGTTTACATATTAAAAACGTTTTTAGAGTTTTGCTTGAAATCAGGTGTGCATATCGAGGCAAGTACATTAAAATTATTGTCAAAATTATTTGTCATGCTTAGCCAGAGTTAGAGGTATTGTGTCATGATAAATGTTTACTGCATTTGAATGAACTTAATATAGTGCGCGTACAACCAATTAAAGTACAGACGATAAATGGTAGAATGAGTACATTCTAGTTCTGACAAAAGTGTCATTTTAGGTCACAAAGTCACCCTCAAATTGTAAAAACAAATTTTGCAGTTTAGCATTTGTCAGACATGATCAAAACCTTGAAAAAGATAAAAACACTGGTTTAAATCTTTGAATACCTGAGTCAAAATGTTATATTACATGCACAAAATAAACTCACATGTAATTGTTCCTACATATCACACTATTTTGCTTTTTATTTTCTTATGCGAAAATACAGTATGCAGTATGGAATTTAAAAGGTTTACCCACGCCTTGTTTATCCAGACAACTCACACCAACACCTTAATCTCAACACTTCATGCACATTTATTAGTACAGTTTATCTCAACACTTATATCCACACCTTAATCCAGTTAATCTCAACACTTCACACCCACACCTTAATCTAGTTAATCCCAACACTTCACACCCACACCTAAATCCAGTTAATCTCAACACTTCACACCCACACCTTAATCCAGTTAATCTCAATACTTCACACCCACACCTTAATCCAGTTAATCTGAACACTTCACACCCACACCTTAATCCAGTTAATCTCAACACTTCACACCCACACCTCAATCCAGTTAATCTCAACACTTCACACCCACACCTTAATCTAGTTAATCTCAACACTTCATATCCACACCTTAATCCAGTTAATCTCAACACTTCACACCCACACCTTAATCCAGTTAATCTCAACACTTCATATCCACACCTTAATCTAGTTAATCTCAACACTTCACACCCACACCTTAATCCAGTTAATCTCAACACTTCACACCCACACCTTAATCCAGTTAATCTCAACACTTCACACCCACACCTTAATCCAGTTAATCTCAACACTTCACACCCACACCTTAATCTAGTTAATCTCAACACTTCACACCCACACCTTAATCTAGTTAATCTCAACACTTCACACCCACACCTTAATCCAGTTAATCTCAACACTTCACACAAACACCTTAATCTAGTTAATCTCAACACTTCACATCCACACCTTAATCTAGTTCACTCCAACACCTCATACCCATGCATTAATACTGTTTATATCGACATCTAACACGTACACCTTAGTCCTGTTATCACAACACCTAACGTTCATGCATTAATTGGGTTTATTCTTGCACCAAACATTAACTCACTGCAAAAAAATATAAACAAAATTTTATAATTTACCACCACCAACAAACTATCCCGAGACCTATAACCAAATATAATAACAATGCTGAGAAGACAGCGACTACTGAGTATCGCGACGATACCAGCGTTCAGAATCTTACCACGTTATAAAATGCTATAGTCCACGACTCAAATACAGCTTGCCCAGAAAATGCAGTAACAAATTGAAACCAAAACTAGAGAAGTAGAGAAGGTGACAAAAACAAACACAACAACATGTCTATTAAAATGTGAAATGTACATAAACAAGCACATGTCAGCACGTACTTGGACACTTACCACATTGTAGAAGCCAATACACCAACGATCAAACAATATCTGAGCTGAAAACCCGTTAACCCATATGAACCAGAACTAGATAGGTCAAAAATGGAGAAGACATGACAAAGAAAGCAACATGCATGGTTAGACGGGATATGGAACGAGATCTACATAAACAGGCCACAGTAAATAAAATATATGCTGGATGTCACAAAGCTTTTAAAATGAAACATAAACCAAAAGACATGTACTTTAGGTAATAAGAGAAAGATATCAAAATGAGTTGTACCAATATGTTCTAGTAATCAAGAAATGTGAAGGACATCCAACATAAAATTTAATCACAGTGGCTGTAACTTTATGGGGAAATACATTATTTTTATTGTAACTAAAGAAAACCTTATTTCCCCAGTGATGAAATACAAGAATACAATGCAAATCGTACTGTGCAGTTGCAGAAAATTCATTATCAATTGGCCTCATGTGACATTTTTATTTGCAGATATAGGAATTGCTCTCTAAATAAATCTAGGCACTAATCAGACAGTCATTACATAATTTATAAACATGTCACGATGACACAAAGTTTTTTGCAGACCACTATAAAAGGGGTACAGGAATGCACCAATATGCAAGATGTGTCAAACGAATTGGTCTTCTGCGTCAAACGAATGAGTCTGCTGCGTTCAAAAGAATGGGTCTTCTGCGTCAAATGGCTGCACAACTATAATCTTTTTCTGTGACACACTACTGTAAAACCATCTATTTTCACTGGCATTTAATTTTTCTATTTTGAAGTTTTGAGCAATTTCACCGGATTTTATGACTTAGCCAGAACAACGAGTTCTATGTTATTTAACATGGATTAAATTTAGTGAATTTGACTTATCAGCGTAAATAGCGAAATTAAAAACCAGTGAGTAACTGATGTGTTTACAGGATATTGTTCCCACATTGGATGAAACAACGGAAAATGTTTGAATACAATGAAAATAATCTATACCATGTTGACTGTGAATACACCAAAACTGAGAACAAGAAAACTTTTAGAGACGTTTGAGTCAATATTATAGATTATATGTTCTCTATGCTTTTATTAATTACGAGGTCACGCAATCAGAATATCGAAATGAAAATAAAAATTGTGCCATTTTTTCAAGTGTCCGAAATGTCATGAAAAATGATCAAAATTTGTATTTTTTACAGTGGTTGTTATGGTGAGAATATTTATTAATATTTCAAAATTTTGCTTGGAAACATGGGATGATAAGTCATATGTTATTATGATACAAATTCTAACTGTGTGAATACATATCAAAAAATTTACATAATTTAGTGAGATTTCTGGATGTTTCCATTATATACAATAGGAGGTTGACTCCCACAATGCATTGTGTATACATGAAGTAACATGCTCAGTAGTGCAAAATATGAATTAGGCTTGAATTGCCTTAACAGAAAACTTAATTTTATTGTTTTCTGTGTTGGACATATAATAAACAAAGTTTTTACCTCTATGATGTACAATGTAATATTCTTATAGAAGGAATACAGAATAACTTTACTGAGTCTACTATAACTCCAAACACCATGTACCAGCAATAACTTGATAAGAAAACGGAACTGAGCAATAGAGTAATCCGAGGCACATGAAGCCTGGAGTCCTTCTTGACCACTAATACCCACTCCAACATGAGCAGACTGCAATAAAATACAGTAACAGTAGATATAGATAGCATGGCTGCATTCTGTCAGGATTACCAGCACTGTGCTCCCACATTTTTATTTTTTGGTAAAATTAAAAGTGTGACCTCAAAACAAATTTGACTTGTGTTTTTATTTTACCGATAACTTGCTGGAAGTTACATCACATGGCCTTTTACGATGTCTCTCCCATTTTTTCCATGGAGGGCATACTTTTATTGAATTGAAGTATGGTTGATGCACTATGATATGTTGATGTGTTAAATTAAGCAATCATGCTTTCATACCACTGTGCAATAATATTATCACGTATCACCTGATATCATATGTTCGTTGACATGAGTGACATCATGGGATAGTATTATCTATGCATTAAAGAAGAATGACTTATGACACCACAAGTATCAGCTGGTTCTATGAATAAGTGATAATCTTTTTATTTATCACAAAACCAACTTCAAGTGCCAGAGACATTTGTAATTTTTACAGAACTATGCAGACAAATTTATACCAATGAAGTGTTACACATAAGAGTTACTGTGAATGAGCCTTTATCGTTATGGTTGCCGGCTGCCATCGGCAAAAATATTACCCTTCCATCAATATTTTCTAGAAAAAACTTTTTGTTGATAACAGTCCAAGTTAGTCTCATTGCAACATTTGAATGTCTGTTCTTATTCAGTCTGAAATTATTGTATTGTTACAATAATTAAGGTATCACCACCATTGCACTGTTTGAACACAGTTTAACATGAATATGGAGGTTTACCACACTATGTCAGTCAGTCATATTTCATAATAAATGTCACTTCTGTGACAATGACGTCCACCATGGTCATGTGACAATGCATGATAACCACTCATTGAGTCTGGTAAAATGATGAATACATAAGTCAAAGTAATTTAATACCTGAATCATGCCAACATCATTAGCACCATCTCCTATGGCAAGTGTAATGGCATTACAACTCTTTTTGACCATCTCAACAATTTCTGACTTCTGTAAAGGTGACACCCTAGGTTGGTGAAAAAAAATCAATATTAGCACATAGTGACACCCTAGGTATAAAGGAAAAATCATGATCAGCATGTAGTGATCATTTGATGCACTATGCACTTGTAGCAGGTCGCTGTTCTTCAGACATCACACCAAATTATACGCTTGAAATAAGTGTGACTGTGAACTTGAAGCTAATATGAGCAACAGTTACAAATGACATCACAAAGCATTTCTGGATGCTAAAAATTATCCATGAAGACTTTAGACAAACACAAATATTTATGGTTGACTTGTCAGTGACGTTGAAATATTCGTTCCATAATTGATGTCAAATGAAAACCACACCGATTTTTGAAGGGCCATTCTCGTCTTTACACATTGCATACTTTGACCTGTATTATATGCTGTTCAGTATTTCAGTATAGTTTATGTCATTATTATTAAATCAACAAAATGCTATTACTTATGAAGAAATCAAATTAACTATGAATTCCTATTACAAATGATTTCTTGCATCGTCACTTACCTGCAGCAAATTACAGCCTTACATGACACAGCCAAATCTAGGAAGTCTTTTCTCAGCTCAAAAGAGAGGGCATACTTTAAAGACTATAAGAACAAAATAAATCCCATTAAAATACTGGACAGTCGCAAATTAACACAAATGTAATGTAATAACATTTGACTCTATAGTGTGTTCAATGCACACATACAAATAATAACATTTGACACTATAGTGTGTTCAATGCACAATACAAATAATAACATTTGACACTATAGTGTGTTCAATGCACACATACAAATAATAACATTTGACTCTATAGTGTGTTCAATGCACACATACAAATAATAACATTTGACTCTATAGTGTGTTCAATGCACACATACAAATAATAACATTTGACTCTATAGTGTGTTCAATGCACACATACAAATAATAACATTTGACTCTATAGTGTGTTCAATGCACACATACAAATAATAAAAATTTTATTTTAAAAGAGAAAATGTTCACAATTTAATTTAGACGAGGAATTTCAAAGACAGTTGTGAAACTTAGTTGAGAGAAACGGTTTAAATCTGTGAAATGGTGAACACTTTTAGCGGTGAAAAGTCAATGGTTTGTAGTAATTTTTTCTCTCACCTCAAATTATTACAAATGAGGATGTATAACATCATGCTACTATGTGATATAGATCTCAATACAAAGTCACATAAAATATGCGATGAGATATACAAATAAATTAGACTGTAAAAACTGATCAAGTTTTGTCTTTGGTTGTATTTCCAGTAGTAGCCTTGCTTATTCACAAAAAATATATTTAATGTGTTTTGTGTGTTTCAATAAGGTAATAATCTTTATTCATTTCTGCTTACTCAATCAAACCTTTCAATGTGTTCACAGTGTTCTATGTCTCTATTTGGTGTGAAATTTGTTCAATTAACGCAAGATCTTCATCGTATACAACTAAACATAAATATCTAGATTGCATATGCTCAACATAAAATGCTTGGACAAACCTAAGATATGAATTTAGACTGATCACTCACCCGTCCATCGTATACAACTAAACATAAATATCTAGATTGCATATCCTCAACATAAAATGCTTGGACAAACCTAAGATATGAATTTAGACTGATCACTCACCCGTCCATCTATTATCAGACCAACACAATTTTCTTTACCAATCTGATCACCAAATGTGTTGACATGACGGAGTAGTGTCTCACGTGTCTCATCAAGAGTCTCTTCATTTATGATAATCAATGGCATTCCCTCTTGCAGTAATTTGCAAGAATATCCTATAAACATAGCAGAACAACTGAAACCTTGCCTTATCACATAATAATTTCTGGTAAGCGATACCAAAGCACACAGAATTTTGTTTATAAATATTTAGAGCAAAATCAACCAATTTACATCGTGAATGATCGATTATTGTGAAATAATTTAAAGGGCGATAGTTGTGTTTTTTTACATGCATTGTACCAGATTCTGCTGTAAATTTGCCTTGGGCCGTTAAAGTTTTTTGGCATTTTTTTTAAGGTGTTATTTTAATCTTTTCTGATGCCTAAATGTTTCACCATAGTCATTGACGCCTATTCGAGAGTATCATGTTTATTGCGACTAGCGTGAATTGGTAAGCTTCATTTCGGCAATGAGCTGTTATCACTGTAAACAATGTTAAATTATTCTTCAAATGCTCAGTTTATCTTTTGGAAACAACTATTTTCTTTATTTAAAAAGTTGGCATCATCCATCGTTTTCATTAGTTAATTATCGATTTGACCTTACAGGTCAAAGAACATCGTTCCAAGTCAAAACATGGTGGATATTCATTTCTACAGCATTGAGCATTTAAAGCGCGACTGGAATTCATTCACTTACGATGATATAAGTTGAAATTTATTTGCAATTCATAACAATTCAACAAATTTTTGCACATTATTATAAGAATTACTAGGAATAATCGACTATTGCGAAATGCAGCATTACTAAGCAATGCAAATATATGTCCCAACAAATATTTGATGATCATTTTTTGAAATTTTGAACCCCAAATAAGGGCCAACCAGCCGCGAAATCGTCCAGGGCGATTTTTCGGATGGGCGAAATTACAGCAGAATATATATGATATATGTCAATATGAGACCCATATACTCTGTATACTCACCAATATTGACGGCGGTTTCCTGTTTATCTCCTGTTAACACCCAGATTTTAATATCAGCTCTCGACAGAGTATCAATGGTTTCAGGCACACCCTGAAAGGACAAAAACATTACAAATGTAGCAATGAAAAGATGTGTTTTATGGTCTCAAATATAGTGAATTAAACACGTGATAGAATACATTTTCGAATATCATTAATAACAGCTTACTTTATTGACCAATACATTTTTTCATGATAAGAAGTAATTTTCAACCGATCACTTTTACGAAAATATTATAAAACTAACCCATTGCAACTTGTCCTCAATGGCTGTTGCTCCTACAAGATGTAAATCTTTCTCAATCAGCTCTGCAGCCTCCTCTAACTTGGTATCCCGAAAGTGTATAGAAGTGCTAGCTTTGTAATATACCTCACTCCATTCCTGCAGAAAAACATGGTGAAACTAGCTAAGCCTTGCCTATATGAGACTGTTAAAATCCACATTTTATATTACACTGGAGCAGTATGTGTGTTTATATCAATATTATGTCCCCAGAAATATGTAAATTAGATAGTAACCTATTAAATTCATTACCATCTTATTAACATAAAAAAAATGTTATTATTTGAAAATAATACTGGTCTTTTATATCAACCAAAAATAAGACTTGATATCAACCAGGATGACACTTACAGTAAAAGTATAGAACACAATTCAGGTAAAATGAACAAATATGGCTTTGACAGCCAACAATCAAATTTTGAAACAAATATCTGACCAAGAAAAAGCAAGTCAGAGACACTGAAGGAAAATTACATGTGACAATAGAATTACCTCATATTCCCGTTTACTGATTTCTCGGTATGCCAAACACAATGTTCGCAAACCTAGAATGAAAGCAGACATGGGAAGGTGAGTATGGAACCCAAGAACTATATAGTACTTTAAACACATTAAATATTCACTGGATTTTAATTTTTAATTTAATCAATAACATATGTAAATAACAATGAATTTAAAACTCAGAATTCAAAATAGTGAAATTAAATTCCAGTGAAAATTAATTCACTTGCATAAGACGCTGCAGTAAGGGTTTGGTTTATTTCAGCACAGCATCATGCTTCTGTTGCTGACCAATAATTCATTTTATTGTCGCTGAAACTTTTATTCCTATCAGCACAGTTTTTTCATCAATATTATATAACACTTATATACAGAGACTTTAGGTTTAATTTTTGACATACTTTGCATGTGGTCGAATAGCAGTAAATAAATTATGAACCATATTAATCAGCAAGTTCCTGTAATGATTAATTGATGTCAGTCTTACCTTCAGAGGCGAACTCAGACAAATGATGTAACGTTATATCTTGATATAGTTGACCTTCGGCTAAACGTTCATATATCACACTATCCTGCAATATGAAATAAACATGGTTACCATATTGACTGCATTAGAAGCACATAGTAGACAAAAATGGCATTTAAAACATATTTTGACATTAGACACACCTCTGTGATTTAGTAAATGCATGTGTTAATAATAGAGTTAATATGGTATGTTGAACATATACATTGTACACTCTATACTTCATTCTCTTTTGAAATTGTTTGTGTTCAGGAGATTGGCTTGTTGAGATTGAAAGAGTCGAAGTGATAAACAAACATCCCTGGCAATGTTCCTAGGAATACTGCAATGTTGCAAGGAAGATTGATACTATGATAGGAAGAAAGTGTTTATTTTGGCATCCACTGTAAATCAAGCAGCTTTATGTAATTTTTTAAACTTAGCTTTCTCTTTTAATTGTAACTGAAACAAGCTTTTGTACTAATCTACATTGCGCAACTAATTAGGTCACAGATACAACTAATAATCTTGTTTAATACTTAAAGTATTTTACAGTATAACAAGTCATTGAAAATGACACAGTCCGTGTTAAGTTCTCTTTGTGCTCGTCATATTAAAGCGGAGGGGTTGTCGTGAGCGTGTCCTTGAAACTTGAGTTCCAAGTGGCGTATACAACAGTTTATTAACATCAAAACACGTGTTCCGTGTAGTAGTAATATGGCCAAAATAAAAACAGCCGTTATTCAGCCATCTTTGATCTGATTATGAAACACACTGATATGTACGATGTATGTGCCAAATATGAATGAAAATGGTACATAAATTGTGGAAATATAGTAGTAAGGCCAAAAAGTCAGACGGCTGTCAATCGGCCATCCTTGACCAGATTTTGAAACAAATTGTCATGGACATGCATCCTAACATGTATAATCTATGTACCAAGTTTTAATGACAACTGACAAAGCATGTCCAAAATACAACATTTTCAAAAAACAAGATGGCTGCCAGACGGCTATTTTGAATCGAATCGCTAAGCACTGCATGTGCATATGTCCCACATAAGGTACTAGGCACATGCAAAGAATGAACGGAATCGGTCCACAGAATTCTGAAATATGACGTTGGATAGACTGACGCACAGACAGACGGTCGGATGGACAAACTCAGGAACTCACGGACGGTCTGGGACATGTATCATAACATGTATGATCTATGTACTAAATTTGAATGAAAACTGACAAAGCATGTCCAAAATACGACATTTTCAAAAAACAAGATGGCTGCCAGTCGGCCATTTTGAATCGAATTGCTAAATCACTGCATGTGCATATGTCCCACATAAAGTATTAGGCACATGCAAAGAATGAACGGAATCGGTCAAAGGGATTCTGAGATATGACTCCGGACGGACACCGAATTATAAGTCCCCGTTTTTGGACTTCGTCCGAACGGGGACTGATAACATCAGCCAAGTCTCATTTTTGTTTTTATTTATGGCAGCCTCCAGAAATGGTTTTGATATGCTGACTATGATATGCCCACCATTAGTATTTAGAACACTACCTGCCTTGTGGTAGATTCAGCACTATAGAAGGGCATTGATACGTAGATGATACACCCTACCATATATCCAACTACTATTCATTAGTCTTGCATTGCATTGTATTCCTTCATACTACAATAAGGTCATACTATTATAACAAACATATTACTTACAGCTCCTTTGCAATATAAAAGTATTTTTCCTTCCACATTACGAACTATAACGGACATCCTTTTACGAGTACTACAAAGAAATGTAAAGAAATAAAATATCAGTTATTTTATGACGAGAATTCAAGATTTAATCAAACGCAGCACAGACACAATAATATCACTTTTCTATAAATAGAGCAATTAATGAATGAAAACAGCTGGCATGCTACGAAAGGTAGTTAAAAAGATGGATCTTGATTTGTCAACACTTTTTTTAAATCTATTTCGCACACATCAGTTAAAAATGGGCATAATTTGTTTTTCAGAAATCATAATTATCAAATATCATTTAAGCATCAACTTTGGAAAAGAAATTGAACAAAAACCATCTTTTTCTTTTTTTTAAGGCCACATATTTCAAAAAGTAAAAGAACAGACTCATAATATTGAAATGTAAATCAGTGACAAATACCTGGAGAACTCTAACACGCTCAATACATCATATTTTACGACTTGACCCATCTAGAGATAGTAAACAAATATTAAGTTACAAAAGAATTTATCATAAAATCAATATAATTTGTATTATTGTAAAAACTGAACTACAATTAATGATGGTTACAATGTACATACATAGTAATAACATAACACGGCATACTGCAAATACTAATTGATTCAACCTTTTTCACCCCAAGAATTTCTCAACAACATCTGATATGATCTGTCACTATTTCAATTAGTCCAAATGTCAGTTTACAAGTCTGATTAATCTTATGCTATCAGATATCTGAAGAAAATAATCTGATGACAACATTAGTTCAGACTGTACATCTTTCTATAGCACCATCAGATTCATTTTATGGAAATCAACAGATCCACATTTGTTTCCTGAATATGGTTTTAAGGAATTTTAGGAGTTTTGGTTTTGAAACAAGTGTAAGTTTACAATACGACTATGACAAAGAGTCTGTCTTAGTTCATCCAAAGACAGAAATGGTTTAACTAATCCATTTATTTTTTCAACAATATGCAAATTTTTTTTAATTTTGAATGAAATTGGCATAATTTTAAGCAAAATATGCAGATTTATTTTATGAAAGGTGACTACTGGATTATATATCAAGTTACTGATATACTCACCTCTTCAATAATGATATACTCTGGTGTTCGCACATTGAAAACAAATCCAAGACCTTTAGCTCCTTTCACAAGAGCAGCTTCATCTAAAAACAAAACATATAGTTTGAATTAAAAATATGACAAGAACAAGAAAAATATGTCAACATAGTCGCTGCTTTCGAGCTTAAGTGAACACTTATCAACTGAACAAGATGTTTTGAACACTCTTCTGATGATTTACATAAAGTATTTGACTATTGTCATGGAAACTGAAAATTTTTGCATAATGATATTTTATCTTAAATAGTGCAGATCGTCATGCTGTATCATGTTCAATATAGGTTCCATCTGACATTTTGTCTATGAAATACATACTGCCCTTTATTGAGTTTTTGGTTTATAATTTAGTTGCAGTGGTTATACCGTATCACTATGTATTATTAGAAATTCAAATATCCGAAAGCAAACCATGAGTCCTGAACACTCAGTACTCAGGTAGACATGAATATTATTGTTGTTTTGCTCTGAAAGACAACATTGTATGTACTGGGACAAAATGCAGCTACATATACCTGGAGATGCTGACTGATAGTGAACTATGTCTGGATCGTTTCGATCTTTTTCAGGAACCACAGTGTGACACACAGACATCAGTGTCAGAAAGTTGTAGATATCAGAAGCAGTTTCCTGAGAAGATAAAAACAATACAAAAATTAGAACACAGATAATTAGCCCAAATTATTAAAATTAAAGAGCTTCTTAACCTTTAATCGTAACACCAAAGTATACTTTTGTGACCTGACCTTTTGCTGCTCTGCAATTATTTCTTTTTGGTTCAGTGAAATATGTGAATAAAAATGTTAAATATTGCAGCAACAATTTTGCTGAAAAATCTATGGTATTCCAAGAGTTTTGTATGAAAACATTGCCACTCCGATCTTTCTGCCATCACAACTAAACCTCCCTCACCAAAATCTTATTTCAACAGCCACTAACAATACACTTACATGACTTCGGTGCAAGTTTTCCACAAGTCTTGGATCATTGAATAATTCTTCTTTCTCATCATCACTTCTGCACAGAGAAAAAAAAATATAGTCAAATGAGTGATGCCTTAGAAGATTGTTTCAATCTAGACTACTAGTGTCAATGAAAAAAGTTAAATGACACTGTAATCGATTCAAAATTAGGTTAGTCATTGACATGTGCAACAGTAACGGAAATTGTAAATCAGAACCTTCTGTCTATGCATGACCGTGGAGAAGTTCTAGAATGGCAGAAATAATTGAATTTGATAATTTATTTAAATGGAATCACAGACAAATATATCTGCGCCTAATATGTGTGAAGATTTTGACATATTGGTTAAGACATGTCAGAGATATGGTACTTTGTTAAAAGAAAATGGTCGCCAGTCAGCCATTTTGAATCTGATCCGCAAAGAGAAGTAATGCAGTTCTGGAAGGGCAGAATTTTTTGATGAATTTTCACAACTAAAATGGTTGTCTAAATGATTGAACATGCCTATATATATCTCAATAAGTATGATGTATGTGTGAGGTTTGAACGTTGTCACTCAAGATAGCTTGCAAACAGATTTAGAAATTCTCATTGATAGTATATTCTAGCAAACAACACAAACACATTTGAGTGTACATGATGTCATCAATTTTATTATTCAATAATTAATATTTGCATGGATGTAAGGTCAAGATTAGACTTACCCATAAGCAATACCCGCAATAGAGCATTTCTTGAACGCCATCACATTCCTTGTTAACGTGCCCGTCTTATCAGAAAAGATATATTTGACTTGACCGAGTTCCTCATTTAGATTGGATGTCCTTGCCATGGCTGGTGTGTTACTATCTACATGGTACATGTCAATATCCTGTGTAATGTCAAATATAAATTTAAATTCAAGTGCCGATGTTTTTTTACAGAGATTTTCAAAGTTTGTGTTGCCATAAAAACAAAAATTGCAGCCAAATGTAGTAATCCAGATCAAGAGAGAATACTTATTAAATGAAAAATGCCTGTATAAACTTGATAAATTTGAAATGATCACCCAGCCAATGAAAAACGCCTGCATACTCACCCAGCCAATGAAAAACGCCTGTATAAACTTGACAACTTCCAGTGTGACTGGCAAACTAATAGGTATCAAATTATTGTACAGGATTATAAACGTCATGAAAGTCAAAAAGAAATTACTGTTTTCTTGCTCTGTAAAAATAAATAAAAAGTAAGTTATTGCACAATGTCATGTAACCATGGTGATTTAAATAAAGTACACAATACTAATTTTACTAAAAGACTGGATTAAGTTTCTCACAACTGATCCCCTGTGCAAATAATTGATACAAAGTATCTATCATCTGAAGTGTCTGAAGAATAAATTCAACAAAATCAGAAAATGTACTTCAAGCGATAAAAAAAATGTATCTACACAATTTTGTTAGTATTCATTTCCTTCAACATGATTTTATTGGAACACCTGGTAGATGATCTTGTAAAGTAAAATATTTTTGATATTCTTACCTGGTAAGTACCAGTGATCATCTCTATGATTGTTATCCCATAACTCAGACGCAATTGCACTTAGCAACGCCAAAGATAATAGTAATATCAGCATAAGTAAAATCTAAAAGAAATACAAATATCAATGATATCAAAAAGATCAAATACCTGAACTTTATTATGTTAATACAATAAGTACAAATAATACCTATTATTATTATTATTAATAATTATTGATAATGCATGCAGCACACACTAAAATCAAGCATGGGTGAAATTTCTTAATTGTCTATAATATCAAAAAGTTTGATGAAAATCACAACTAAATTACTACACAAGAAAAGTTAACCGTGAATACAGTGAGACAACACTAGCAGTTAAGTTAACACCATTTTCTTTCTTTTTTATTCAGGAAAACTGAACAGTGAATTGTGAAGCAAAGTAGCAGATAGACACGTGTACAGTACCACAGTGTGTAAGACGTACCTGTGAATTGGTCATAACTTCCATGCTAGATCTTTTCAAAGGAGCAGCTGTAGAGTTCTACAAACATAATATTTCAGGGATTACTGATATATACAATAGATAAGAGTAGAGTACATAATATTTCAGGGATTACTGATATATACAATAGATAAGAGTAGAGTACATGATATTTCAGGGATTACTGATATATACAATAGATAAGAGTAGAGTACATATGGACATAAAAATGATATTTCAGGGATTACTGATATATACAATAGATAAGAGTAGAGTACATATGGACATAAAAATGATATTTCAGGGATTACTGATATATACAATAGATAAGAGTAGAGTACATATGGACATAAAAATGATATTTTGTCTAACTTTGTTGTGGTGTATGTATGAATAAAAAACAAACAAGTTTTTCATATGTTATGAACATTTGGTAAACTTTAAAAGTGAAAATGTCATCTATATCAAAAATACTTATTGCTGCTGACTGAAAGTGAATTACCATGTTTCAACCCAATAAAACACATTGTCGCTAAGCAACGAAATAACCTGAAATTAGTGTATTGCATCCAATGCCTTAAGACTACAGGTGAGCTGGTGGCAAGTTAATCTATTTATGTTCGATGAGTGCCTGCATTTTAATGTGTGCTTTCACTACTTGGACTTTTGAAAACATGTTGCCTCACACTTGTTAAGATAACACTCATGTTGCCTTCAAAGCACAACCCTAGAACAGGTTGCATGAACCTTTGTGCATTTAGAAACATTATACTAAAATTGACTAAGGAAACTGTATATACTTGAATACAAAAACTACTTTCCACTACATACAAACAGTAATACGTAAAGGTCTTACCATCATAAGTTTTGAATCATGACCGGTGTAAATGACAGCTCCAAATATCCAGTGAGTGTTCTTTAGTTGTGCACCACGAAGTAGAATTTGATCAGTTCCTAAGGGATTAGCCCTGCATGTGAATAATAGTTTAATATCCTTCTACATACATCTTTCAATGTAATACTTCTACTTGAATAATTTAAAAAAACTTTAAAAAGGTTTTTATCTCCTATGGACATGAAGTATAAAGTTTGGCCATCGATGCCAAATATTTTACAAACATGTTAACAAGGATAGATGACTTACATTTTCGTACTACCACGTAGTCGAATATTTCCTACAAATTCATAAAGATGTCTATTTGGTCCTTCACATTCTATTCTACCTTCCATAGAGGTGAGGTCCTCACGAGATAAGAGATTTGCTGTCTGCGGTAAACCTTGACGAATCTTCAGATTAGTTTCACCGTCCAGATTAGACGTCTCTACATAACACATGGCTTGCGGCTCACTGGAGAGATTAATGAATTGTTATTACTTGCTTTAGAATGTAAGAATATTACGCTCAGCATAAGTTGCGCACAAAGCAGAGATCGTATCAAATGACACATAGCAGAAATCCTGTTATTATGAAGTCAGTGTTGTAAAGAAATATTCTGAGATGGAGGTGAATGCCGCTGAGGGCAGTGATTACTCACCTAGACGACAGCAAGATTAAATCAGCTGGAAACTCATGTCTGTTCACTATTTTCACTATATCACCTACTACAACCTGCAAGTATATGGGACACGATGAGTGCATGTGAAAAAAAATACATGTATGTGAGACACAGTAAGTTCCGAACACGAATATTTGGGAGAAAGTGACTGTATGAACACATGAATATTAGTGACATAATGAGTACACGAACACACAAATATTTTGGACATAGTGACTTCATGAACGAATGTCATACTTTTGATAAGATCCATTACATTCCTAGACACGACTGAAAGTTAACGAAGACAGTTAACAACGAAGAGACACATTATGCATACAGACAAGTTCCTATACAAGTTTAAACTCACATTACCTTTTTCCATTTCAAATTGACCCATTTACCACCTCGTAAAACTGTAACACAAAAACAAAATTCCTGTCTTGAATACTTCATCACAAACAATTATAGTAACCACCACCACCACCACTATTTATTGTGTAGCAAAAATTTGTAACATAAGAAAATTATTGAATTCATTTTTTGAAAGAAGTTTCACCCTGATTGATGTCAACAGAAGTGCACCTTTTAGGCTAGACTATCATTAGTAGTCCTTGTATCTAGAAAAATCAACAATAGACAAACAAAAGAATTGCACAGTACAATCAATAGAGGGCGTTATCAAAGTTTGTGTAATTTGTTCAACTATCATCCCCTTGTGTATTCAGCATGTCAAATTGCTTTGAAGTATATAGCGTCCTCTATAAGAACAGTGGGTGATGTATAATTATATAGAGGGCACTGTATATTTTTACCGCAGTACCCTCTGAATGCTTACAAAACAATTGTATGTATTCTTACCCAGTACTTTTCTATTGTTTGTTTGACCATCTGCTAGATGCCGTTTCTATCAAGATAAGAAAATCATAGACACAGGTTATTTCATTAATGTGTCACAAAATCACGATTCGTGTGTGTGCGCGAGTCATTCGATACATGAACAAATAGTATTTGTACAAGATACAAGTGATAACCTCAAAGACCACAATGATCACATCTAAATGAGTAGTTAAATATTAACACAAATTCAAACTTCTGATATCATTTAGTCACCACGCTTGTTACATGACCTATTTATAAATGACATTCTAAAGCATTACGCAATATTTTTAATTGTTGAGGTTTTTCGATTCGAAAAACAAAAGCTAAAATACTGACACAAATTGTTATGTTTGTGTCATTGAACAATGTAATGCAATTTGACTGTGTATAATGTTCATATTGTCAATGCTATATCGCTACATGTAATGCAATTTGACTGTGTATAATGTTCATATTGTCAATGCTATATCGCTACATTAGTTCTTAATAAATCAACCCAATATTATGTTTTCATATTGCAATATGAGAACCAAAACATGAGACAAAGAAAAAAATGAAAAACAAATTTTGGTGATTGTAAAATCTATAGTGCTTCACTTTGGATATTTCAGGAGAATACATTTTTTGGAAAAGGACTCATTTTGAGCTGCATATCCACTAGGACTAGAACGCTGAACACTTTTTTAACTGTATGCACACTGTGTTTTAGGATCTAAGTTTTTTTTAGCAAAACAGATGCAACAAAGTTTTCACTTTACAAACAGAGCTTTCAGTGAGATACTTACAAAATCTTCTATAATTTCTTTCACTGCTGATACAAATAATATAAATAACAATGGCACTAATGTAGTAAATCTGCCAGTTGGAGAGACACCAGGAATTTGCTGTCAACATGATAGAAAAAAAATAGGTTAACTTAAAGATCTCATTTTGGAATTAAGAAGGACAATCAGGGGCAGACAATGTACATGTGTATTGACTTCCGTCTAATTTTATATCATGGGTCGTTTCAGAATCTTACTATGCTTTATTTTCAATTCAGCCAAATTTACATAAATTTTAGGAAGAATTAGAAAACTGTACAAAGCAAATATTTCACTAGGAGACTGGAGTCGCAGTAATTTTTGTGAAATTTCGTTCACACAAATACCTTAAAAGTTTAGAATCTAGCTGAGAAAACATCTTTATAAAGTAAAACTAAGATTGGCGATGAAACTGACAAATTCCAACTTGTAGCCCCCTCAATAGAATATTATTTTCATTATTCCAGGTTCTCACTAGAAAGGGAGTTACAATCACACAACATGTATTCTTAAATTTGTAATGAATATTACTCATGTACCACCTTAATTAATGCATATGAGTAAACACCTTTATAGAAGATGTGTTACCATAGCAATGATACTGTAGCTGGTAGCTCAAGTATATCCCTTTGTCAGGCAGGTCAGTCAAAACTGCTGGTACAACATCGTACAATATGAAAATTATACAGGACATTGCAATATGTGATTTGAACCAAAGTGTATGTGTGTGACATAATACGACTCTTAGCAGGCTTGGTGTGACCTCTAAACAAATGTGACATATAATTATTTTAATATTCCACGGCACAGAATGTAACACATCTGTATTTGACATAGTTTAATCTTTAGGCATGCGTGGTTACGGATGTAATCTGAATTCTACAATTTATCTAACATCAATTGAGGTCATCACGGTAGATAGATGCATTAAGGCAGTCACAAACATTGTAACCATGGTTACGGGAATGGCCGCCAGTCAGCCATTTTAAATCCAATCTGATAAATAAAACGACGAGCATCAGGAGCCCATAATGTCTAATGTATGTACCAAGTTTGAACGAAATCCACCCATAAATGCCGGAAATGCTTGATATTTGATGATTTTTTTAGCACAAAAATTACCACCATTCGGCCATTTTGAATAGGATAGTCAAACCAATATATATGTTTATCTATGACATAATGTATAATGAATATTTAAAATTTGAAAATATTATCAGTCAAAACAAGTCGGAGATATGGATCTAGAAGCCCATTCATTAAAACAAAATGGCCGGCAGACAACCATTTTGAATCCGATCTGAAAAATAAATGATGTGCATCAGGAACCTGTAATGTCTAATATATGTACCAAGTTTGAACGAAATCCATCCATAAATGATTGTTTAGCACAAAAAAGGCTACCATTTGGCCATTTTGAATAGGATCGTCAAACCAATATATCTGTCTATCTATGACATGATGTATAATGAATATATTTAAAATTTGAACATAATCAGTGAAAGCAAGTCAGAGATATGGCACGAGAACCACATTCATTAATACAAAATGGCCGCCAGTCGGCCATTTTGAATCTTATCTGAAAAACAAAATTATTTGCATCAAGGTCCCATAATGTCTAATGTATATACTAAGTTTGAACAAAATCCATCTGTAAACAGCCGAGGAATGGTTGATTTTTAGGATTTTTTAGCACAAAAATTGCCGCCATTCGGCCATCTTGAATCAGATCGTAAAACAAAATGATGTGCATCAAGGTCCTATAATGTCTAATGTATATACCAAGTTTGAACAAAATT